ACATGAGGGGCAACTTTTTTTAAACACAGAGGGTGGTTCGTGTGTGGAATGAAGGAAGCGGTGGATGTGGGTACAGTTATAACGTTTAAAAGACGTTTGGATAAGGACATGAATAGGAAAATTTGGAGGGATATGGGCCAGGAACAGGCAGGTGGGACTAGTTTAGTTTGGGATTATGGTCGGCATGGACTGGTTGGGCCGAAGGGTCTGTTTCCATGCTGTATAACTCTCTTGACAAGAACAGCCAGTACACCTACATTTTCCAAACTCTTACCATTTTGGAAACACTGTGCACATCCTGCCAAAGTGGGTAACCGCACGGTTTTCCACATTATGTTCCATGAGCTCATTCCAAAGCCATTCCCATTCGCTGACCCCATTCTTGTATTCCCTCTACATCTAGGAGCATGCAAGACCAGTCTGTATGACGCACACCCTTGTATTTTAACCCTTTCAAGTACCAGGACCGTTTGGCTCAATCCTACCTCATCCTCTCGAATTATGTCACACCCAGGATCTCCCCACAGTGTCACTCTTCAGGAAACCAGTCAGAAGTGATTCTTACCGATAATCAGGCAAGAAGTTGTGAAGCCATATCTCCATCCGTCCGACCCCAGGTTCAGGGTGAGCCCCCCGATCTTCGGCAGGCCGCTTGCTTGCTCCCCTTCTAGAACCGTCTCCTGGTAGCCCGTGTCTTTGAGAGAAGTGAAGGCGAAATGGGCCAGGTAGGTCCAGAACAGGAACTGGGCCAGGCAGAAGAGACCCAGGAGGCGGAAGAAGCTGGTCCTCTCGTGACAGAAGAGGACAACGTCCTGGGCCGGGGCTCCACTCATCGGCCTGGACCCCACCATCGCCCAGACGGGAATCGATCCCCCACCAAAGGGCCAAGCGATACCTCTCCTGGGGGCCTGGCTCCCCATCATCGTCGCCATGCTCCAAGCTGCCCTCCCCACTGTCCCCAGGCTATCCCAGCCCCCTTCCAGCTGCCGTTCTGCTAACCCTGGGCTGGGTTCCCCCATCCCCAGCATTACTGCTCCTACCCACAGGCTATTCACCCCCATCTCGGGGGCGTTTGTCCCTCTCCCCAGGTGATTTATATCCATCGCCGGGACATTTAGCCCTGGCTTTTCTGCCCCTATCCCTAGGGTTTTGGCTCCTATTTCCAGTACATTTGCCCCTTTTCCTGGGTTTGTCACCCATTTTTCCTGATATCTTACCCTTGTCCCCTGCCCATTTGCCCCTAATTCCTGCCTATATCCCCTCACTCCTGAGTACCTTATCCCTACCCCCTGCCCATTTGCCCCCACTCCTGAGTATCTTACCCCTAT